ATACTTTCATCATCATTCAACACTTTCACCTCACTCACACATAATCACTGTTTTGCGAGGTGCTCAGAATACAACAGTTTAGAAGTATATACGTATAAAAATATACAATACACTTACCATCCGACTTACGACCTGCTCGACTTATGACCACTCGACTTAAACCGTGTTTTTTATGCCAAATTTCTGGTAAATAAACAACTATTTGTGTTGTACACTGTGTTTATCCTAAACCTTACAGTATAAAATACAGCACTAACAACATAAAAAGTAAAGTAAAACATGAAATACCAAAATAAAACAATAAAATAAAGTCTTTATAAAAATGTTTTGTTGATATTCAGTAGTAATTCGACTTACGACCATTTCGACTTACGATGGTTTCTCAGAACCGAACTCGGTCGTAAGTCGGATGATAGGTGTATATCCCTCCAAACTGCCAATATCCCAAACCCCTCCTTTAGACACAGGCATTGTACTTCCCATTTCCAGGACTCAAGTCCGGTTATATAAAATAACCGGTTTCCTGAATCCCTTCACTAAATATTACCCTGCTCACACTCCAACAGCTCGTCAGGTCCCAAATACCATTTGTCTCCATTCACTCCTATCTAACACACTCATGCACGCTTGCTGGAAGTCCAAACCCCTTGCCCTCAACACCTCCTTTACTCCCTCCCCTCAACCTTTTCGAGGACGACCCCTCCCCCGCCTTGTATCCCCTACAGATTTACACACTCTCCATGTCATTCTACTTTGATCCCTTCTCTCTAAATGACCAAACCACCTCAACAAACCCTCTTCAGCCCTCTGACTAATACTTTTATTAACTCCACACCTTCTCCTAATTTCCACACTCTGAATTTTCTGCATAATATTTACACCACACATTGCCCATAGACAGGACATCTCCACTGCCTCCAACTGCCTCCTTGCTGCAGCATTTACAACCCAAGCTTCACACCCACATAAGAGTGTTGGTACTACTATTGCTTTCATACATTCCCTTCTTTTCCTCCATAGATAACATTTTTTGCCTCCACATATACCTCAATGCACCACTCACCTTTTTTCCTTCATCAATTCTATGATTAAACCCCATCCTTCATAAATCCATCCGATGACACGTCAACTCTGCATGTGTATGAGACAGAACAAAAAAGACACCAGCAATCCTACCATCGTGAAAAACAATTACAGACTTCCATTTTACACTCACTTGGCAGGACGGTAGTACCTCCCTGGGCGGTTGCTGTCTACCAACCTACTACCTATATGTGGTGATATTATTTATACAATTATTACAATATTGCATAACAGTAAATCTTTTATTTTTTGGTTTGATAAAAATTCCTTAAGGGAATCAAAAAACAAAATGGAATTCATTTGTAAAGCCTGAAAACATAACTGATGAACAGAGGAAATGTTAGTTTAGTGCCAGGAATACCTACATTGTTTATTCTGGACCCTATTTTGAAACTGGAATATTTTAAACTTTGCATTAAATTGGCCAAATTTCCAATTTCCTATCATTTTATTTTGCAGTTGAAACAGTTGACTTGGCGATTTCTTGTGCTCAACCGATAGAATAAAGTAATATTAGTGAAATAGCTACGAATCTGGTCGAATGGAATAATGTAATTGGCCTAAAATGGAGTCAAAGCCGGCAAAATCGCCTATGCATCTTTATCGCTGACACATCAAAATTCGCGCGAAATTAATTTCGTCAATTTTCCATCAAATTTCGTACTTTTTGTTTTATTACCTTCAGAAAAGATTTCTCTACCATTTCATAAGAAAAAATAACAAAATTATTTTTTAACCTTTGAGGGTCGACGGCCCTCTCCAAACTCTTCTCAGGGTGGGCCCAAAATTTTTAAAAAAAAAAAAAAATTATTTTTCTTAGAAAAGATGAAAATCTTTTCCGTTTAAAAAGGACACCAAAATTTTGAAATTTGAGGGAAAACTTATGGAATTAGCTCTCCCCAAAGTTAGCGGCTCGGCATTTTTACGCATCGGCGTTTTTTGCCCCTTTTTTGACCCCATTTCGGCCAATTCACTGTACTAGTCGACAAAAAACATGAATATTTCGCTGAACTCATTTTTTCTTCGAATGGGTGCAAAAAACCCCCCATTTATGAATTAACTACCCAGTACAGTGGTAAATTTAGCAATTTTGCAATTTCACCAAATTTCAAAGATGCCAAATTTTCTGAATAGGGTCCAAATAAAAAGAAAAAATTTCTGGCACTAAAAGAACTTCCTTTGGGCAAGTCACGTCTCCGGGCCCCTTTTATATTCTTTTGCTTTCCACTTTCAATTTTTTTTCTCAAAAAAAAATATAAGTTTTACTGTTATGCAGACTACTGCATTAGTGTAAAAAATGGTATAAATTCATTGGTGCATTGTAAAAATATTGACTCACCATTGACTGTATTGCACGTTTGGCACATTTTTTTACTTTTGAAATTTGGAAAAAATCGAAATTTCTGTATTTTGACCAAATTTAAAGGGTACCTTTCATTGAAAACCGTCAAAATCATCTCAATTTCTGTAATATGTCTTCCATTCTATAAATGGACCAAAAAAAACAAAATCACAATATTACCATACAAAAATAAGTGAAAAGTCGCTGTTTTTTTTCCAAAAAAATGTCAAATTTTTTTTTTTTCTCTTATGCACTGTGTGCGCAGGTTTTTTTTTAGCTGTGCCATGCCCACATAGACCCTTTTTTATTGAGGCCTACAAGCTTTCTCCCACTGATTTGAGGGCGCTGAATTTGGGCGATATCTCAAAAACCCGGGTCGAAACCCTATAGACGTCCAAATCCTCAAAGGGTAAAATTTTAGACACTGGTGCAACTTTAAAAATTTGGGCCTCGGGACCTGAAAGAGTTAAGCAAAATTGGAACGCTGACACAACAATGGGGAAAGGGAATTTTTTTGGGGGCTCAAATTCTCATTGAATCAAAACTCAACACAACCCTGGAGCTCGTGTAAAAGAGGGTTGTAGGCTCAAGCATCATTCAAATTAAATCCATTTTCCCAGCTTAGTTTCATGTTTTTCACTATGCTTTAGCAGGATGCAGTAGAGGGGGCCCCGGCACAGGCCTGGTGGAACTAGACACCCCCCATCGTTGTTGTGGAAGAATTCTGGGGGGGCCCCAAAGGATTGCAGTAGAAAAAAAAAAAACCCTCTTAAAAAATGACTAAACCCAAACAAAAAATCCTGCCCTTGTACAAAATTTCCCTTGACTGTTAAAAAAGACTCTTAAAAAACAGGCTTTTTTAATAATTACGTACTTGGGAACAAAGCAGAAAAATATAGTCTATCTTCAAAAACCCTTTTCTGAGCAAAATGTTTTAAAAACCCTTTACCGGTAAAAGAACAAGAAAATGATTATGCTGTAAGGGGAAAACTGGAGGATTTTGATGGCAAAGCTTTCGATATATTATGGAAATAGATATTGCTCTCGTGATCCTAGCCCCAGTCATTAGAGATCTCAGAAAAACTTAAAAGCCAGTGTAAAAAGAATTAACCCTTTGCTGTCGAAGGGCCCAACCCTGAAGTGTCTCCTGGTGTCGAAAAATATTCGAAAAAAAAAACAAATTTTTTTTTTCTTATGAAAATGTTAAGATTATTTTTCTGATTGTTTTACCCCCCAAAAATTTTTTTCCCCCCATGATACTTACCGAGATATAGAGTCCGAAGTTTGCTGAAATTTTGAAATTGGGGACCGGAAAACAGGCCCGTGGGTCACCCGGTAAATTTGTTTTTATTGTTTTTTGTTTTCTTCTTTTTTCACCCTATTTTTTTTTTCACAAAACTTTTGTGGCCTGGAGACCAAATTTGTGCAATGTTAAAATATCACTCGTTGAATGTAACAAAATTATAGCAAAAACACCGTTCATTTAAGGTTAAAAAACTTTTTTCAAAAACAAAAAATGTAAACAAATGTTTATTACGATTGTTTTAAAATATATATACATATGTACAATAAAATGGAATTTTCTAGAAGTGCTGCGCTTGTGGAATTTTTTGAACATGGGTATAAGCACAATGGTGTTTACACCTACACATAAAACGAGTGTCTCTGCGTTTTTGTGGGCGTTTTGTGGTATGTCCACAGACAAAACACCCCTTCTGAGCATTTTTTTTGGCGTATGCAGGGAGTGGTATGGGGTAGTGATCCCCGGCCCCAACGGAGGACATGTGTTGAAATTTCGTGGGGGGCTGGTCTATTGCAGGTGTTTTTTCTTGGACTTGAAAATTATTTTCTGAGACTGACAAACAAAAATTCCCATTTTGGGGTTTTTTCTTGGGCTTAACTTTAAAATTTTTATAAACATTCAGCACGGAAATTCAAGAAGATGGAAAAAAAAGTTTTATATACCACTTTTAAATCCTGCGAACACATCAGCAAACCCAATCTGCATGTCACATTTGTCCATAAGGCATATTGAGGGTTTTAACCATCACAGCTGAGGGTTTTTTAATGGGTTCATTGGTCTTCTATTTTGCTTGCCAGTGTCTACCTTTCGTGTCGGTGAACTGATGTCGCAGTGTGACATCACGTTTGTCTGCCACCCAAATGCCTTTAGTCATTGGCAGCAAACCCTGCATTTCACCCCACGTGCCCCGATCTAACCTAGGCATATGTTTACGTTTCTAGCCTGTGCCATACCATCTGTCATGTTCATGCAAAAATCACTGAGTTACGGGTTGTGTACCATTGTCAGTATTAAAATATGCCCCTTTCAAGATATGGGGTCCATCATTTTCTAACCCCATCACCAGAGATACCAGTAACTTTCCCGTATTTCCCCTGTTTTACCACCAGTGTACACATTTTTATCCCCCAAACCCCGAAACCGTTTGCAATCACAAAACAAATAACTTTTTACCCAAAAAGTTCCTCTTGCTTGGTTTCTGCTTTAATGGAGCTTCCTTTTAAAAATCAAAGACTCGTCAAAAACAAACTTCTGAAAGGGTAAAATACATACGCATTTTGTTTCAGGTAATAAACCAGTTGTCTTATAACCTGGTTCTGCGGTGGGTTTTGCTGAAAAGTGTAAAAACGTAACAGAACACATATTATTCATGGTATAAGTCATGAAAACTGGGGTTTAAAACGGCGTCTGTTGCCCCGTTTGTGTTGAACTATGCTTATACACATGTGGCATAAGCATTATTGTGGGAAAGAAAGATAATTTTGCCAATTTTTTGGGCCTTCCCTGGGGTAGGGTGATCTTGGTGACAGAATGTGTTTGCCATGGTGTACTCATAGTAGTATTGCTTTCCTGCAATAACGTATCAGGGGTTTATCAAAGAAAATGAAAGCTTCCCGTTCAGTGGGTTGTTCCCAATGTACATGATGGCCGTATTCCACTTTTTCCTCCTCAAATATGGAATTTTGGGGAAAAAAACCGTCATCTTGCTGCCAACCCATCTCACCTTTTTTCTATATTTTAAAATTTTTATTTTCGGGTTTGGTTTTGGGTGGAGGTTGGGGTCGGGCAGGCTGGTTGGGTTTTGCGAATCGCAGTGCGGGGAGTGCGTTGCCCCCTGTGGGGTCACAGACTCTGCCACCATCACTATCCCACCACCGCCTGCTGCCTCCTCACATCATTTTTTCCCATGTAACAATACGACTCTTTATTCGGGGCGTGGTGTGGGCCCCGGATTGCCCCGATGTACTCCTTCCTTTGAAGAGCAAGGGCCCCCACTCCAGACCCCATGCGCGTCGTTTTTTACGCTGCTTACTGGGGGAAAATTTACCCTCACGTCAAAAATGAACTGCTTTAATAACCCTTTAAAAAACTACACTATCACTTGCCTGCTCACATCTGAGTCTTGTACAAGGGAAATAGTTTCCTTTTCGCCTGGTACAGGGGAAACATGAACGAGCCGGCCCAGACCAGAGGTGGATGGTTGTGGGGCTCTGGGTTTTATCACTAATTTTGTTTTCCTGGGTAATTTTTCGGTCACACCGCTTCAAAAAACCCGGGGGTTCACTTTCACTGACCTATCATCACTGTTTGGCTATCACTTGGGAAAAAAAGACCTCAATCCGCTGAGGGTGAGGAACTTCTTACCCCCGAGCATGGTGAAAATGGACTACCAAACGGGTTCCCCCAAGCACCCTGAGTCCCCAATTTTTTCCCGGGTGCCACCGACACTGAACCCTTTTTCTCCGTGTAGGGCCCACCCCCTCCCGTTGTTTGAAAACCGCAGAATTTATGCGTAAAGATACGTCAAAAATGGGTTTCCAATGACGTTTTTATAGACCGCGACAGCAAAGGGGTTTAAAAGGGTTTTTAAATTCTGAATTTTAAACTATGTATACACCCGCAAAAAAATTTTTAATAGTTTTTTCCCATCATATTTTCCTCTAATGTTTCACCCTCAAATTGTCTCAAAAAAACTCTTTGAAACTGTTTACTAGAAAAAGTATTCTAAAACCCCTACAAATGGAAAATAAAGTAAGGTTACACTGGTATAAAAAATTTGGGAATAAATACCCGACAAATTGGGGTTTTGAAAGAACGTAAGCAAAAACTTACATTTTATTAGAAAAAAGTTTCGGTCCTGGGACCTTGATCACTTCTAACATACAGAGGTAGAAAGGCATTATATATATAGGCGGAGAGTGAGGTGTGACGCACGTGACCTGAGGAATGTCATAAGAACATAAGAACATATGAATGGAGGAACACTGTAGAAGGCCTACTGGCCCATGCGAGGCAGGTCCTTATCAAAACAACCTCTGCCTATGATGAGGACGGGTAGACGTTGAAATCATGTGACTCCTGTGTTGTTGGGTTGGTGGTGCTTAAGTATTATATATGCCAGTGTTTTTGAAATTTTGTAGTTTCCAGTGTTGCGTTCTATAGTGTCGGTGACTGCGATTAGTGAGGCTTCTAGGCACCATTGGCGTCTGAGGTCTGGTTCGGTGAGAAAGAGTTGTGCCTCATTCCAGTTCATCAAATGTCCCCTGGAATGAGGCACAACTCGTTCTCACCGAACCAGACCTCAGACGCCGACGGTGCCTAGAAGCCTCACTAATCGCAGTCACCGACACTATAGAATGCAACACTGGAAACTACAAAATTTCGAAAACATTGGCATACATAATACTTAAGCACCACCAACCCAACAACACAGGAGTCACATGATTTCAACGTCTACCCGTCCTCATCATAGGCAGAGGTTGTTTTGATAAGGACCTGCCTTGCATGGGCCAGTAGGCCTTCTACAGTGTTCCTCCATTCTTATGTTCTTATGTTCTTATGACATTCCTCAGGTCACGTGCGTCACACCTCACTCTCCGCCTATATATATAATGCCTTTCTACCTCTGTATGTTAGAAGTGATCAAGGTCCCAGGACCGAAACTTTTCTAATAAATATGTCATAGTGTTTGCTTACGTGTCTTTCTAAATCAAGGTTACACATAAACATTTTATCTCAAACAAATAATGTCACTTACCTGGGTTAGCACCAGCACGGAAAATTTTTGGAAGATGTCGGTACTGAAGGAAGTATTCCACGTGTCCCATCTCATGATGCACGACAATCAGGTCATTCATGGTCACGTCCGTACACTGCCGTATTCTTAAATAATCAGGGCGCTATCATAATGTTCTAGAATAAATATTAATTAATCAGAAATACACATACAGCGACCAAAAAACATTTAAGACAAATGATTATCCAGTGAAAGGTTATCATGTTCTTATGTATAAAGGCAAAGGGGACAAAAATAGTGTAACAATAATAACAATAATCAGCCTGTTGAGTAAACCCAGTACAGAGTATGGCAGAGTCACTACTGAAGGAATTAAGAGCAAGACAGAGAGCAGGACCACAGATGAACAAGGAGTCTTAAGGAAGGGTAGAGCAAGTGTTTACAGTGAAGCATATAAGTGAACAATATTTAGATAAGGTTAAAGAAAGTTTCGTTGCATTTATGAATTTGGAAAGAACATTTGATAGGCAGATGGCGTAGCATTGCAGTAGATGTTACAAGTATGAAATAGGTGGTAAGTTACTGAGAGCAGCTAAGAGGTTTCATGAGGATAGGAGGCTCCAGTAAAAGTAGACCTTAGACAAGGATGCATGATATCACGATGGATGTTCAACATATTTATAGATGGAGTTATTATAGAAGTGAATTCTCGGGTGCTGGGAGATTGCAAGATAAAGAATCTAACACAAAGTGGGAGTTATGCTTTTGGGAGATTCTGAAGACAAGTTACAAAGGTTGGTGGGCAAATTTGGGAGAATATGTAAAAGAAGGAAATTAAAAGTGAATACTGGAAAGAGCAAGGTGATGGAGGTGTCTAGAATATGGGCGAACATCATAATTACCGACCTTATTAGCTAATTCCATTCAGATCATTAATTAAATTCTAGAGAAACACCTGCCAACCCATTCACCTTCATCTAGACATGGGCAATTTATGTGTTCTAGATGTAGGTGTATTTCTGGTTTACTGAGAGTTTCAGAGAAATGTGGGACTTTCCATGTGGCTTCATTAATTACTTATTACCATATCTATTAATGCATTCAATTGTACTGATAACACTTTCTGCCTTTGGTGTGTGGAGACTGGGTCATTAAATTCCTTTAGGAATACCTCAAAATAATGAGTACTGAGTCACAGTTTTAATACACGAGTTTGCCAGATGGAGACATGGGTGATGTGGATGCGGTTGGTTGTGTTACTGAGGAAACTGTGGGCCAAAGGCCCTCAGGACATGGCACTGTGTTACTGATATAAAGGTCTACTTGATGTTATCATATATACTAAGATCCTACACTTACTTTTTTTTTTTTAACAAGTTGGCCATCTCCCACCGATGCAGGGTGACCCAAAAGGAAAGAAAATCCCCAAAAAGAAAATACTTTCATCATCATTCAACACTTTCACCTCACTCACACATAATCACTGTTTTTGCAGAGGTTGCTCAGAACACAACAGTTTAGAAGCAAATACGCATATAAGATACACAACATAATCCCTCCAAATGCTAATATCCCGAACCCTCGTTTAGAGTGCAGGCATTGTACTTCCCATTTCCAGGACTCAAGTCCGCTATATAAAAAATAACCGGTTTCCCTGAATCCTTCACTAAATATTACCCTGCTCACACTCCAACAGATCGTCAAGTCCCCAAATACCTCTGTCCTCAATTCACTCCTATCTAACACGCTCACACACGCTTGCTGGAAGTCCAAGCCCCTCGCCCACAAAACCTCCATTACCCCTTCCTTCCAACCTTTCGAGGATGACCCCTACCCCGCCTTGCTTCCCCTACAGATTTATACGCTCTCAATGTCATTCTACTTTGATCCATTCTCTCTAAATTACCAAGCCACCTCAATAACCCCTCTTCAGCCCTCTGACTAATACTTTTATAAACTCCACACCTTCTCCTAATTTCCACACTCCGAATTTTCTGCATAATACAGTGGACCCCCGCATAACGATGGCATCACATAGCGATTATTTCGCATACCGCTTACTTTAATCGCAAAATTTTTGCCGCGCATACCGATTAAAAACCCGCTCACCGATTTTCGTCCGAGACGCGTCCAATGTGCGCCCTCAGCCAGCCTCACATGTGCCGCCCGTGCCATTGTTTACCAGCCAGCCTCCGCGGTAACATCCAAGCATACACTCGGAATATTTCGTATTATTACAGTGTTTTCGGTGCTGTTTCTGGAAAATAAGTGACCATGGGCCCCAAGAAAGCTTCTAGTGCCAACCCTACACCAATAAGGGTGAGAATTACTATAGAAATGAAGAAGAGATCATTGATAAGTATGAAAGTGGAGTGCGTATAGCCGACCTAGTCAGCTGTACAAGAAACCCCAATCAACCATCGCTACTATTGTGGGCACCAGAAAGACAATCAAGGAAGCTGTTCTTGCCAAAGGTTTAACTGTGTTTTCGAAACAAAGATCGCAAGTGATGGAAGATGTTGAGAGATCTTATTGGTTGTGGAAAATGAAAAACAGATAGCAGGAGATAGCGTCTCTCAAGCGATCATATGTGAAAAGGCTAAAGAAGTTGCATGAGGATTTAATTAAAAAAATGCCTGCAACTAGTGATGATGTGAGTGAATTTAAGGCCAGCAAAGGTTGGTTTGAGAGATTTAAGAAGCGTAGTGGCATCCATAGTGTGATAAGGCATGGTGAGGCTGCCAGTTCGGACCACAAAGCGGCTGAAAAATATGTGCAGGAATTCAAGGAGTACATAGAAACTGAAGGACTGAAACCTGAACAAGTGTTTAATTGTGATGAAACAGGCCTGTTCTGGAAGAAAATGCCAAGCAGGACCTACATTACTCAGGAGGAAAAGGCACTCCCAGGACATAAGCCTATGAAAGACAGGCTTACTCTTCTCATGTGTGCCAATGCTACTGGTGATTGCAAAGTGAAGCCTTTATTAGTGTATCACTCTGAAACTCCCAGAGCGTTCAGGCAAAAGAATGTCCTCAAGGATAATTTGTGTGTGCTGTGGGGGGCAAACAGTAAGGCATGGGTCACTAGGGAATTTTTCTATAACTGGTTACACCATGCATTTGCCCCAATGTGAAAGATTACCTAACTGAAAAGAAATTAGAACTTAAGTGCCTCCTGGTGTTAGACAATGCCCCTGGTCATCCTACAGACGTGGCAGAGCGACTTTATGGGGACATGAGCTTCATTAAGGTGAAGTTTTTGCCTCCTAATACCACTCTCTCCTGCAGCCCATGGACCAGCAGGTTATTTCCAACTTCAAGAAACTGTACACAAAAGCTCTGTTTGAAAGGTGCTTTGTAATGACCTCAGAAACTCAACTGACTCTAAGAGAGTTTTGGAGAGATCACTTTAATATCCTCAATTGTGTAAACCTTATAGGTAAGGCTTGGGAGGAAGTGACTAAGAGGACCTTGAACTCTGCTTGGAAGAAACTGTGGCCAGAATGTGTAGACAAAAGGGATTTTGAAGGGTTTGAGGCTAACCCTGAGATGATTATGCCAGTTGAGGAATCCATTGTGGCATTGGGAAAGTCCTTGGGGTTGGAGGTTAGTGGGGAGGATGTGGAAGAGTTGGTGGAGGAGGACAATGAAGAACTAACCACTGATGAGCTGATAGATCAACTTCAAGAGCAAGAGGCCAGACCTGGGGAAATGGTTCAGAGGAGGGGAGAGAGAAATTGAAGAAGTTGCCTACTACAAAGATTAAGGAAATCTGTGCAAAGTGGCTTGAAGTGCAAACCTTCATGGTGAAAATCACCCTCACACAGCTATTGCAAGCCGTGCTGGTGATTATTACACTGACAATGTTGTGAAACACTTTAGGCAAGTCATAAAGGAACGAGAGGTACAGGCCACTATGGACAGATATCTTGTGCGAAAGAAGTCCGTGACTCTGAAGCTGGCCCTAGTGGCATTAAAAGAAGAAGGGAAGTAACCCCAGAAAAGGACTTGCTACCTCAAGTCCTAATGGAAGGGGATTCCCCTTCTAAACAGTAAGAAGATAATGCTCTCCCCTCCTCCCATCCCATCAATCATCACCAGATCTTCAATAAAAGTAAGTGTCATGTAAGTGTGCATGCCTTTTTCAGTTTGTGTGTATTAAAATTAACATTTCATGTGGTAAAAAAAATTTTTTTTCATACTTTTGGGTGTCTTGCACGGATTAATTTTATTTCCATTATTTCTTATGGGGAAAATTCATTCACATAACGATTATTTCGCATAACAATTACCCCTCTTGCACGGATTAAAATCGTTAACCGGGGGTCCACTGTATTTACACCACACATTGCCCTTAGATAGGACATCTCCACTGCCTCCAACTGCCTCCTCGCTGCAGCATTCACAACCCAAACTTCACACCCATATAAGAGTGTTGGTACTATACTTTCATACATTCCCTTCTTTGCCTCCATAGATAACATTTTTTCTTTCTTCTTTCTTTCAACATACCAGCCGTATCCCACCGAGGCAGGGTGGCCCAAAAGGAAAAACGAAAGTTTCTCCTTTTACATTTAGTAATATATACAGGAGAAGGGGTTACTAGCCTCTTGCTCCGGCATTTTAGTCCCCTCTTACAACACGCATGGCTTATGGAGGAAGAATTCTGTTCCATTTCCCCCATGGAGGTAAGGGGGAAATAAACAGAACAAACTAGAAAAAAAAAGAGAAGAAAACCCAGAGGGGTGTGTGTATATATATGCTTGTACATGTATGTGTAGTGTGACCTAAGTGCAAGTAGATTTTGAAAGGGACATACCTGAAATCTTGCATTTTATGAGAAGACAAAAGACACCAGAAATCTACCATCATGTAAAACAATTACAGGTTTTCGTTGTACACTCACTTGGCAGGATGGTAGTACCTCCCTGGGCGGTTGCTGTTTACCAACCTACTACCTAGGATAACGTTTTTTGTCTCCACATATACCTCAATGCACCCACTCCTTTTTCCCTCATCAATTCTATGATTAACCTCATCCTTCATAAATCCATCCGCTGACATGTCAACTCCCCAAAAATCTGAAAACATTCACTTCTTCCATACTCCTCCTCCCCAA